AGGTCGTGAATTCCACACAGGTGTGGGATTCACGGTTTCATCAGGCGACTTTGGGGGCACGGTGTTTATTCACGATTTTCTTATTACATCAGATTACACGTTTGAGTTGAGATAATTGAAAAATTGTTTTACAGGGACATGTGTCTCACCGAGCACTATCAAAATATGCAAAAAAACGATTTTCGAAAATTTGTGGAATTCACGGTTTTATCAGGCGATTTTCAGAAAAACAGAAAAAACGGATTTTTTAAAGGATTTTTAGAGCTATTTGCACTTTTCAAACGCCCTTTTAGGTAATTTAGGGTGTTTTTTCAACAGTTTCTTAATTTTGTCTCGATAGAACAGATGTCAAAGGATGTTTTTCCGCAAAAAACAAAAGTTGGATAGTTTGAAAATTTTTTATTGATATTGCCTTGGATCGCCGACCCGGGTCTTCCCTTAAGTCCCATTTCTTTTCTTTCTGCCTGTTATGTCTGTTTATTTTACTTTTACCCTGCCCTTAATGGTTCTTGTCACATCAATGTGCTTTTCTTCTCCAACTGCTAAAGTACTAAAACTAAGTTTGTAAATAAGATGCCAAATTTGTAAAACATTTTATCGTAAACAGGTTTGCTTTCTATTGGAAGAATCATTGATGTGGAAGGATCTCAGAATTTGAATAGATACACTAAGCATTGTTGTCGTGCGTTTCAGTCACTTTTTGATATCCTTTATTATGATTAAAAGTAGTGGATTGTTTCTAGGAGATATTGCAGTTCACTTATATGATAATGTGGTTTCTGAATGGGCAAAAGTACTAATTTTCCAATTGAATAGAAACAGAAAAGCTGCTACTCTGTTACTATGTATTTTCTTTACCTTTATGTACACAGGTCTATCAAAGAGGCTGATCTGCGTGACTATGATGAGTCAACCCTTGTTGAAGACAGGAACCTGCTGACCGTATCTGATGACCTGGCAGTTGACATCTACTTGTTCGAAAACCATGCAGAAACTGCTGCCAATTTTCAAGTGAGTGATTATTAAAAGAAAGTTGTTCTGTTTACCCCAAAGGTAAGAGACTTGCTTTCTTAAGTATGTTCAATTCCTTGTTCATGCCGGTATGGTTGATGAAAAACTGTTTCTGTCTATGGCTCTTTATACTGCCATGTTTCGAGGGTTGGTGGAATAGAGCGGCCCAGTTCAGTTTCGGGGGCTCTCGTGGCTTAGAGGTTAAGGTGTTCACCTCTCATTCAAAGGCCCCTGGTTCAAATCCGAGTAGCTACTGAGAAAATTTTCTTCTCTAGAATTGTCTCCTTTCACTTCTTTTCATGCTCTTTTGTAATGTTCTGTTGTCTGCTTTCGTCTCCACTTGCTGCCCCCACCCCCCTCTCCTCCTTTCACCCCCTGGGGCGGTGCTACTGACTGAAGTGTCTTTAGGCCATTCCCAAAAGGGGGACGTTAACCATGTTCTTATGCATAGTAGAATTGTAATTGTAATTGGGCTGATTCATCAATGTCATGCTCATAACTGTGTCTGAACTGCAAGAGGGAACTGCTGCTTTTTCTTTTCCTAATCCTTACTATTGTCATTTTCCTCTACTTCTTTTGTATGTTTGTCACACTCTTGTGACCCGCTTTTCCGGGGAGCCTTGATAGTCAAAGCAGACTTTGTGCTCTTGAAGCTAAAGACGTGAGCAGAGTAAGCTTGATTCCCTGTAAAGACTTCTCTGTTGATATCTAACCCTTGGCGCTCATATGACCTAATGCAGGTGCGAGTACCGTAGAACCTCTACTAAAACAAACAATCACCTCCGTTGCCCCCTCCTCTGGGCTTCTGACTCTTTCTGCAGCCTTTCTACTGCTACTCCTTGGCTCCTTCTTACTGCTGTCTTTTTGCCACACCCCTGATCTTCTGGTAGGAAAGATCTACACCTAGCCTTCTGGGACAAGGGCTGAAAATCTGGGAGGTCATGTGTGCAAGCTGCGCACATTAAAGATCCCTTGGTGGTCTAAAGTTTATATGAGTAGGCTTCGGACGCCATCTTCGCAAAATTCAAAATTTCCCACAACCTGAAAATGTTTAATGTGTCCTATGCGCTCATTTGACCTTATGCTGTTGCAAGCGCTTTAAAATTCTTACAAAAAAAAAAAGGTCCAGTTTCTTCAGTTGAGGATAGAAATTAAAGGCCTTGTTGAGGTCTTCATTCGAAACATACTTGACCTGCCACGCACATTTAATGTCTCCACATTGCGAGGCATGCCTTGGGGTTGCTGTGATGTCATGAGCATTTAGCACTTTGGTTTAGTTGCAATGGGAACATTCTGCAAAAAGAAATGGCACTTCAGAGGGCAGAAGGGATGAAAGGAAATATTTTCAGAAAAATGGGTGTTAAATTTTCTGCATTGAGGCTGCATAAGGCAAGAAACAGTAGATTCACAATTATTTGAATGATAAATCCACAACTTATTTGATCTTTTTATGTTAATAAAATACACATGTGCACAGAGTGTCCGCAGGAAGAGCACTAATATTCCATTTCATTTGACATCCTACATCAAGGGGTTTTCCTCAAAAGTTGGAGGTCTATGTGCATGTGTATACTTTCGTAAAACCTTTTGATTTGTCTTCTCAGCCTGGAGACTTCATCAAACTGACCAACCTGCATGCCGCTGTGGTGGGAGGTCAAGTGGAACTGACCCTTCACCGAGGCACTGCGTTCAACCGTGGAGCCAGAGTTTTGTCCCCTGACTCACCAGAGGTGATCCCCGTGAGTTCCCTCATAGGCACGTGTATGGCTGCTCATGCATGTGGCGACAGCGAAAACCATTCCATGCTTGATGAGTGGACGCAGCAACCCCAACATGGAGACAGGGAGGTCAGTCCTGAGGTTGAGGACCAAGATACCTTGAACTGTCCACCAATCACAGCACAGAGTGGTGGTGGTGCAGAGGGACATACGGGTGATGGTGATGAGCATTTGAACTTTGGCTCTGCCTCTTTGTCTCCAGTACAAAGAAGAAAAATTGCTCATCGAACTTCAAAAGGCAAAGGGTTGGGTAAAAATCGGGTTCGTATGTACATAAATAGTGACTCAGACTCGAATTCTAATGCGGATACATCACAAACAGCAGCGTCTTGTGTTCATGGCAGCAGACCTAGAACTAGGTCTCAACAAAAACAATGTGAAGTGAGCCCAGATGAGGAGGAAATGGATAGTGATGACGAATCTGTTTTAGGAAATCGGTCTGTTGTTCTGTCGATGGAGGAACCTGAAGACAGGTCTGGAGCAAGGCCTGAGACTGAGATGCATGAAAGTCCTCTTGGGAGTGGTGTTGTCAGGGATTCTTCCTGTGTCCAAGATGGTAAAATTTCATCTTCTGGGAACAGCTTTGATGACTCTGGTGCTCAGCAGCTTGATAAAGGAGGCGCTGACAGCTCATCTCAAGGAACTTTCGCAACAGCTGCGGAAAGCTGTCAGCTTTCCTCACAAGACAATCTAAGCTCGCCAAGTCAAGAGATAATATCCTCTCCAGTGACAATTCCATTGTCTCTGAAAGCGAGGAGTGTGTCGCCACAGCATAGTTTCTTTAATAGTCAACAATGCTCAGAGGAGGACCAACATTCTAGCACTAATGCTGAGGGTGTCCCCAGTACTGAGCCACGTTTGTTTCAGTTAACAGAGGAGGACTTTGTTGCTGACTCTGAGATCTTGTGTTTTGACACAGCTGCTTCGGTTCCTGAGACAGAGACAGATCAACTCATGGAAACTGCAGACAGTGACCTAACAATGAATTCAACCATAATGGACACCGCAGATCCTGTCTACTCTGTCTCCATGGATGACAGTTTCTCCACCCCTAGGTGCATACTGAAAACTGCATCAGGTATGAATCATGATTATTGTAGTCATCATAATGGCATTTGTGCCCTTGTTTACCCATGTGAGTTTATGCTGAAAAAAAGATTGGATGTATTGTAGAACTTGCTGAATGCAACCTAAAAGGGACTGCCAAAGGTAATCACAGTGCTGAACAGACTGTGCTGTTAAAAGTTGTTGATGAGGTGAGCTGAGATAAGGGGATCAATCTTAGATTAGATTTTTTGGAGAGAATGGCTTTTGCTTTACCATGATAGATTGTTCTTTAGCATGGTATTATCTGGACGGAGATGATACATGGATGAGAAAACTACTGAAGACTAAAGTTGACCCAATCAAGCAGTATATGTACACTCAGCTTGAGCAGTTACTGACTTACATGATTTTTTTATGCAATATTTCTGGATAGTTTATAATTAATTTGGATCGCTAGAAAGTTTTAGCTGATATGCCATGAATTTTCTCATTGTGATTTGAAAATATTCCCTCACTTTTTAGTTTGACAATGCGTTCTACCTTTTTCAACACTTTCTGCTGGCTGAAGCATGAATGTTGTCACTGTCTATTAAGGACAAAGCTTGTGTCATATAAGTCTTGTCAGCTTTTGGACATTTGCAACAGATGTTTTTCTTGTATATCAATTAATTTGGATATTCTTTATTTTGAGGGCTACACATGAGCTGGTTGTTTGGAGGTGTCCTCTCTGCCCTGGAGGCCTCTGATGTTGACTTGCAATGATCCGCCATTTGCTATAGTTGTCAGTTGCACAGGTACACTGTTCCGGCATATAGTTGCACTGGTACACTGTTCCAACATATTATGCTAACACCTTATCGATGGGATAGAAAAAGTACTGTAGACTTTAAAGTTTTATAAGAGTAATACTTGTCATTTTGGTTTTTTTTTTCTTCCAGCCATTGTTGGTCATGTCAAAGTGCCAATAACAAAACTGAAGGATGTCCTGTCTCACTCCATGCCGTGCAAGTTCAAAGTTCAAGTTAAGATTGGGGACTTCCATCCCAGACCTCAGACAGTATCGGAACTATTCTATGTTTACTGCTTGAAGTGCAAACACTAGTAAGTTCATAATGATTATAATAATAATAACTGTACTTTTGTAGCACATATCCATGCTCTACAGCATGTTCAATGTGATAACTCACAAACATTCTCAGTTCCCAGGAAGCATACAGTTCCAGTTCCAGTTGATGGGTTCTCAGGAGTTTGTGATTGATAGTGCTTATGTCATTTGTGTCACGACGCGGTAGAATCAGACGCTCGTCAATTTTGGGGCAACTAGAGTTATTGGTATTATCTTAAAGCTTGTTCATTCGAACCATCTTTTGATGAAAAAAATACATTCCTGTCTTGATTAGAAGTCGAGATATTGGCGACTGAAGTAGGTCAGGGTCGTCTGGTTTCAGAGGTAAAATTTGTGAGAAAATGGCGCCAAAGTTTGGTGATTCCCAAAGCCTGAGAGCCCTTGGAAACTGAAAATTTACTTTCGTTGTGCCTTTAATCAATGTTTTTCCGTAATTCCACACAGAAATATGTTTTTAAATGGACATAAAAGGTGTTGAGCCAAAAAAACAAAGATTAGAAAAAAAAAATAGTCAAACAGGAGGAAAGATGCCGTTATCTTCGATTTCGTTATTTTAATAAGTATCCGATTGCACTACGATGCCTCACATTAATTTTTTTTAAATTTCTGAGCTGAATTTGTGTTGTGTATATTCAGACTCATTTCCCAAATTAGAGTGAGCTGTGCTTGAAATTACTTTTTAAAAAATTTTAATAATGTATTTTTCACGCCCCCATTGACACAGTTTAGATGATTGAGGAGGCAGGCTTCCGACTCTGACAGTCTGGGTGAACATGAGCTGAGAGGGATACAACATCCCAGCAGAAAGACTGAGATACTCGGAACTCCCCCCCGGGCAGTGATACTCACTGAAGTGTCTTTAGGCCATTCCCAAAGGAGGGATATTAACAAGTTCTTATGCACAGTAGAATTGTGAATGGGCTGATTTATCAATATCATGCTCATACTGTGCCAGAACAACATAGGGGGAACTGCTGCTTTTTCTTTCCTCATCCTTACTATCATCATTTTTCCTCTACTTCTTTTGTATGTTTGTCATCCTCTTGTGAACTGCTATTTCCGAGATGCCTTGATAGTCGAAGCAGACTTTGTGCTGTTGAGGTTAGAGAGGCGAGCAGAGTAAGCCTGATTCCCCGTTTGGACTCCTCTGTTGACATCCATTTCTTGGCGCTCATATGACCTTGTGCAGTTGCAAGCACCGTAAAACCTTACTAAAACTAATAACAGAGGTACTCGATATGGAGTGAAGTGCCTGACAGCTACACCACAGATACCGGTGAAATGACTTCCATAGCCAAAGAAATTTGTATGTTATATGTATGTAATTGTTAAGTATGTACATATGAACATGTTCTATGCTGAACTTTATGAATGATGTTTTATAAACTTCTAAACATTTTCAGTTTCATTTTAAGTTGTGATTGCTTTTGTAAAACTTTATCATCTATTCCTTTTTTTATTTCTTGCTATGCCATTCAGTGAGCAGACTCGACAAGATATAAGAGAAAATCCTAGCAGTGCAGTAGAGCAGCTGTGTCCTGTTTGCCCAGACCAGAAGATGCAGCCTACGATCATTATGATGTTTGAGCTGGTGGAAGATGACTGTGCTGTCATTGCTTACTTGTGGGACACAAATGCTGTAAGTCTCTTTTGAGTTCATCCTAATGGGCAAGTGACATCAGCACGCTCGCTAAGCGCATGTAAAACAAGTGAAGGTTTATGTAACACCTTCCATCAATGTCTTTTCCTTTTACGTAAAAGTGGCGTGGAGGTTTCTGTCCAACCTGGGTTTGGTTGGTTGCCTGTTTTGAGCACATGTAGAGGTGAGTGAACTTTTCGCTGCTGGTATTTGTGATATAGTGTTGAGACACTTTGCTGTCTCACAGCGCAGACCCAAGTTCAATTCCTGAGTGAGGAGAAATTCTCATAGAGTATATAGGTCATTTTGATGTTGTATCCCTCTCAACAAGGGTTGTCCCTGATGGGCAGGATTGAATTATCTACCTCCTGAGTGATCTACATTGTATTGATGGGGGGCATAAAAATACATCTAATTCAAGTATTCTAAACATTCACCATGCACAGGTACCCAGTACACACATTCGTAGTTCACTTGTATTAGGCACTAGAACATTATAATTAAAATTATTCCAGTTTTTGTGATGAGACACTTTTTCTCAGAATGGGTAGTTGGCAGCCATGGTCTGGACAAAACTGTCAAACATAGGATTGGTGATTACTAAGGTGTTGAATGTTCTTTCTTGAAGATTTTTACTGGATCTTGGCGGTGTGATTCGGAAAAACTTATGCTCTATTTAGCATGGTTTTAAGACTTAAAACAAAACTTTTAAAAGGTTGTTTAATGGTTTGCACACTTACTCCTACAGTTACCATTATGTGATTTGACACATTGTATGAGCAGCTTTGTTTGTGACTTCATATACTCACCTGGCCCATGCTTGTCGTTCGTTGTCAGTGTTTATAGTTGCCACTTTTCCGGGAATTCCTTGTCTTGGATACTGAGAGATTTTTTTGTTGTTGTTGCTTTATTACCATCTGTCTGAAGGCATTTGTCGTGTAATGGTTAAGTTTTCTCCCTGTTGCATGTGGAAGATGTGAGTTTCAGTTCCGTGCGCGGAAGTTGAGTGTCTGCATCTGTTTGTTGGGAAACAGTATCCCTATCATCCTGGTTGGTCCAGACAAGCAGATCTGAAGCAGCCCACCTCCCAACTGATCTAGATTGTGATGCTGAGATATATCGTTTAAGACACTGATCTATTATCTATTTGCAGTGGCCGAATTTTGCTATTCAAAAGGCTTTTTAATGGCTGCATCGATCGACATGCAGTTTTCGCCAAAGGATTCTTTAAAATATTCTCCAGAGCATGGCGCCCTTCATTTCTTCAGTTTAGAGACAGTTTTGCTGCAAAAAGCTAAATTTCTTTAATTCGCCGATCGTTTTTGTAGGTCGACGCTTCTGTCTTTGTAATTTTAGAAAATCCGGAGGTGATATTTCGTGAGGCGCATTTTGTTTTCAGAGTATAGATCTAGACCGTATAATTTTTTGCATCTCTCAAGATTTATTGCCCCATTCCAGTAGAGTGTAAATATAGTAGGCCAATGACTTTTAGTTGATATTAAAGCACCGATCGTTCCTTTCATCGAAAGCTTGTATGTTTCAAAAGCCTTGCTCATCCAAGAATGCTTTTCATCCGGTGAAAAACATTGACATGGGGCTAGTTGTTCTATTCCAGAAATATGAAATGTTCTTGACTTTTTAAAAATAATGTGATGGTTGATATATCTTTTTAGATGTTTTATTTAAAAACGAAAATGTTTTTTTTTTCTCAGTTGCAGTTCTTGAACCTTAATGAGCCGCTGGAACTGTTGACCAGGGATGAGACGTTCGCTGATATAAAGCAGTCACTGGACGCTCTCTGCCCCCCTAACTTCACAGTTTCAGAGAGACCCTGGTTTGAATGTTGTATATTTAGTTACAAATGTGGAAACAAAACAAAGTACCAGATTTTCGATACTGTCCTCATCAGGAAGGAGCTCAAGTAAACAGGGGAAAGACAGTCATGAGGCTTGAGGCAGTCTCCAAAGCTAAGGGCTGATCTCACTGGTCAAATGTTGCATAGTCAGTCAAACTGAGGTTTTTGAGGTCTGAAAAATCAAGTATTTGAAAGAAAGGCTTGTCTTGATTGACCAAATGGATAGGTGATTTCAATCCTTTGCGTGTTATTGAATTGTGGTGATGTCTCTGTTCAAGAAAATTGCAATCTGTTTTTGGTCAAATGTGTCAGGAGAGACAATTGGCCGATTTATTCTGTGCCTTTTTTTATGAATTTGGCTGAGACTAAAATGAAAAATTACCGTTCAATTACAAGCTTGAAACCACTTGACAATCTGAAGCAGACTTTTTTTTTACACTTAAAGTTTACAATTTTTATCAACTATGTCTTTGCAAAAGAAAAAACATTTCAGGTCATTTGAGCTGTGAAGCTTTTGTATGTTTTCTCAATTTTCTGGCTATACTGTTTGCATTATTTTAAGGATGCAGTTATTTCTGAGTCGGAACATGTACCGTATGTGAGAAAAGTGATATTGAAAGGCAGCTGTTATGAATTCTTATTGCTACTGCAAATTTTTTTAGTGAGCTTTAAATTTTTCTATGTTCTTGCATAAAATCAAGTTCTTGTTACTCCTATGGGACACACATTAGTCTCGCGTGGTTCGTTCATCTATTTTCATTTTTGTTATTTCAGTTTCAGATATTTATCAATCACATCAGTTAAGCTTTGCAGCTTTATTTTGTTTTGCCTTTAGCCTTCTTTCTGTCCTCAGTTGTTATTTGTGGACCCATTATCAAATTTTTCAGAACTGGGAAAAATCATGCAAAATAAGACCTTTTTTGCCAGATAGATATAGAAATCATGACTTGTTTCAGTTTTCGTGTTTTTATTGTTTTCTGTATAATTGTAAGTTTCAAAAGATGCAACTATTTTTTCTGGAGATGAGCTATTTGTTTTCTTTGTTCGCTTCTACAGTAAGCCAGAAAATTCATTAATGTCATTTTCATTTCCCGAAATGAAAAGAATTGCTTGCTTTTGAAATATTATTTGTGTGTAATATATTAAAGGCCAAAATACAATTCCACTGAACTTCATTTTTTTCTTGAGAGTTTTTGTTTCGTTGATCATTTAACCTTCAATATTTATTAAATGTACAGGTGACATATCATTTGATGGTCTTAGATAAAATAAGACAAAAAAGCAAACAAACAAAAAATTCCTTTTGAATTCGGACCTTATTGAAATATTTTTTTCTTTAATTTTGTGCTTGAATATTGATTTTTAATTCTTTAAGTGTGACTATAGCAGCAATACGCTACATGTACTAAAATTCACTGGAATGCTTGAAAGATTTGTCTTGTTACACTGAGAAAGGGTGTAAACTTCAGTATTGGAAATTTAGCCAATACTCTGTAGCTTATTTCAAGCCCTATGGTATCATGTAATTAATGGAAGTTGTCAATTGTTCCTTTGTATACTGATAAAGCGAAACTAGTCATAGAAGAAAAAAAGCAGGGACAAGTAGGCTTGGAAAGGCTAGCTGCTGAAGTTATGCTCCAGTACTGAGTTGTTATGTGAATTATGACAATTATATAATATTGTGAGGCTATTGTATAGAGGCAATGTTTATAGGAAAAATATGTTATTAATCTCAGCTCAATGGCTTTGATTGGCATCAAAACTTTCGCCACTAAGTATGGAACTACTTTTTACCATTATAATTCATCCCCAAAGCCAATGGCTCTTCAGGTATTCTCCATTCTGGGGTTTGGCTCAGGGACTAGAAATGGAAGAGAGCTGCTACCGGTGCGCCTTTGCAAGATTTGCGATGTCTTTTATGTGCTTCCATGAAATGCACCCTATGTGGAAAAGCATTCAATGTACGTCATTTGTGTTATATGATGATTGGTCAGCAGGCTCTCTGGTGTGGTTTGCTCCTTCTTTCTTATCGCATCCTCAAGCTCTCTTCCTTATCTTTTCTTTTTGCATGTATGTTACTCTCTAGTAACACCTCTGATCTTCGGTGCTTATGTGACTTAATTTTGTTGCAGGTGCCGTAAAACCTTTACTAAAGCTGAACTGAGAAATTGGTCAATAGCCATCCATACCAAATTCCTGTTCTGTTTTGTTTTTTAGGGGAAAATTGTAGAATGTATAGCTCATTTATTACAAATGTACTACCATGAGCTCTAAGCGAGCGAGCCTAATAAGCCTGAAAAAAAATCAGAAAGAACTTGAAGAACCACTCATGAAAAAGGTGATAAAATTTTATTTTGTCCTTAGTTTATAAGATGAAACAAATTGAAAGTACAATAGGGCGCTGAAAAGTTTGGGATCGGACGATAGCAGCTGGGGTCACTCATCAAAGACCCAGAAGAACTTATGACCCATGCCCAGTATACATGTGCTTCGTCCACAGACCATGGTTTTTGAATTCATTCTATTTAGAAATAAATACTTGAAAATGTTATGTTTTTGAATGGATGACTGGTCTTTTCATTGACTTTAAGTGTGAACACGAGCAAAAGTTAATCCAGAGGCGGAATAATTATATACGTAGGCAACGAACACTCATGTATACTGAGCTATAGAATCAGAGGAAATGTGACTAGTATGGCAGGACAGTGGTAACAAAATGCATTGAGTGGAGTCCACTTGTAATAAGAGGTTTGTTACTAATTTTTAAAACTCTTAATAGTAAACACATTCCTTGGTCCAAGATTGGTTGGTTTAAAATAAATTGTTTTCCATGATCTAGTCATAGTCATCAAAGTCAAAGTTTAAATCAATTAGAGCTGCAGTTTGGTCCCTCGATGACTATTACATAAGTGGACTCCACTGTACATCACAGAAGACGATGATTCTCCGCTGGAGAACAGTGGTATCAAAACAACAAAGCAATGTATGTTGTAAAAGTATAAATATGTCATGAAAGTTTGCAGGAAATACAAAATATAATATTATTTATATTTTTTTGTACATGTACCAGCAACCCGCTCATCTGAAAAGAAAGATTTGTTCGTTAACTTTCTTTATTCTTTGGGACTAACAATCAAATTAAATTTTGCTTGTTGACACTCATTGACAGAGAGTGTAAACTTAATCTTAAATATACTTTTCTGACACTCTGAAGGTAAATGTTTGGAAGTTTAGTACCTGAGGTCGAGTTGTTTCTAGAATACTTTTCCTCTGTTGTTAGTTCCATGTGCTCTAAAAGGTGTCTCTCCCCCCCCCCCCCCCCCTCGGGCCTGTTTTGTATACAAATAAACGTCGTCCTATTACTAGTAAATTGACAGGGGATAAAACCAACATAAACTTGGCAGTAGTAAAGTTTATATTGTCCCTTGTATATATATATGTAAGATTTGTTTGAATGACATACCCTGGTTCAAATTATCATGATAGATGATATCATTCTATTTAATTCAGTACTTTTGATTTAGTTTTAGACTGAAATTTAGAAATGTTGCATTTCCATGTCACCTTAATGGTCATGGTGAAACTTTCAATCTCTCTTCCTTGTCAGGCTAGGGAAAGTAACAAGTTGAAACAAATTCATCGAGAATAATGTCTGTGCAGCTCCCTCTTTTTTCTTTCTTTCTATCTTTTTTGACAAAAAAAGTGGGGGGCGTGTGGTAGGAGAGTTTCCATCCCTGAACCTTGGGTAGGCATCTCATCTTCTGAGCGAAGGACGAAAATCTCGGGTGTCTTTGTGAACGTTGCACACAAAAGACAGCTGAGAGTTGGAGAAGAGTGGGAAGCCTACCGTGACTCGTGTCTTCACAACATTTTGAATTGACCACTGTCCACGGACCTGAAAAATACATTAACGATGACTGCCCGGATTGGGAGGGTAATGCCAGTACATTATATACAAGTGTAACATCTGCCGTTCTCATCTCTCATCTTTTTCTTTTTCTGTTACTTTCTAATAAAATCGCTTATCTTCTTCTCTTACATGACCTATTTGTGTTGCATGGACCGGTTAACGTTTCCGTTTAATAAAATTTAAGCAAAAACTGAAGAGAAAAAAAGAACGTCATGAGTGATAATATGGTTTAGTTAGGCTCTTTTCTATTGCACGCAGCAGACATGAGTTCGATTCCTGCGTGGAAACTTTGTTTTATCGACTGTCCACATCTATCTGCTGCTGTGATGGTGTACCCCACTCACCCCGGGCTGACCCAGACAGGTGGGACCGGAACCCCAACACCTAAATGATATATATATAAATACCATAATATCATTTTAAAAAGCTGTCTGAAAAACACGAAAATGGGGCATGTTCTTCATCTTATGGCAGAGGATGATACTCGTATTAATTGTAACTCCTTTCCTTTCTTCTCTTGTTTATGTGTAAATTGACCTTATTTCTGCTATCAGGCTGTTCTCATTAACTGCCGAAACAAGAAAATACGACCTGGTAGCTTCAGAAAAAAAAATGAAAAACCCATATATAAGTACAAAAGTAGAAACATTGTGGGACAGTTTCCCTTGAAATGAATTGGAATCTACGTGTTGTCGTTGTTTCGGAGGAAGCCAAGTACTCCCCATTTTGAAGTTTTAACAAATATATTCATAGAATAATAGTGTAATCAAATTTGCCTGATCCACATAGCCCTTTATAAACTTCTAATTTTCCCTCTATATAACTCTAACAGTTATCTCCGTCTGATGAGCCTCGATGTACACAGCCAAGTCTGGATCCGTACATCAGGCGCAAAGGGGGGGGCGCACTATTTGGTGATGAATATTCATATGTAAAAACCATATATCATATTTTCCTGATGAATGAAATGAATTATCAACAAGTACAAAGTATAAATTCAGTCAAAATGAACATCATAGAATGTATTGAACAAATGAGCCGATGAACAAGGCATGATAACAACAAGTGGTTAGTTAAGTAGAACAGTTAACAGTTTTGATTTTCCTCTACATTTGCGCCCATAGCCTTCAAGCGAGCTATAATAAAGGTAATTTGTTGCCAAAATAACAAACAAGTCTGCGTTCCAAAATGGATAATGTACATGGAAGACGATGAGAGCGGGAAATGGAAGAACTGCGACAATGGGTAGGCTTTAGATATCCTATATAATGACTTGTGTCATTGGACTAGACACTAAAAAAACAAACACAATCTGTACAATTTATTGAACTTGTTCTGTGATAACTGCCGATACAATTCTTCTTCGTTTGTTATGGTGTGTAACCAATGGAGTCCTAATTCCGTCTTGACTGATTCTGTTGCTGTTGGCGAATACGTAAATGGTACAGAGTGGTATATATACTGATCAGACGTGACTGTCCATCAGACTATTAGCATGCGTTCCGTAGCCTCAGTTGGTTTCATGCTGGACTGCGGAGTGGATGGCCCCGGCTCGAATTTCCAACGGGGAATCTATTCCTGAACTTGAGTGTTCTTTTGGCTTAGTCCTATCGGAGTTGAACGTTCTGTTCGGAGGTCTGGGCTTGTATATAACCGTTGCAATGTTGAAAGGGCGTCAAATAATATATTGGTACATGTATACAACATCAACAACTGGCCATCAGCTAAGCATTACTAACGCTACAATTTACAGCAATCTTCATTTACAAGTACAAAATGTACGTGTGTCATATCACGGTCTTGACGGATAGGCTGCTGCTCACTACTGAGAGACATTACGCTAACCTAGAATCTGTCTGCTCTATCAAAATCGAAAGATTATTCGGAGCCGGTATCAAGATATTCAAAGAAAAGACATTCGATAAAGCTTGACATGTTGTGAAACATTTTTTTGCGTCAAATTTCTCACAACTAGTTACTTTGCAGATAGAACATTATAAATTGTAATTCAATGGTAGCGTTTTGTAAGACGCCAACCTTGCAGCACACGAGAAGCGGAGCCTGTTACAGTGTTTATATCTGACGATGCTCGCTTTGGAAGAACCCTCTGCTCCTTCTGCTTTCGTTTTCCTCGTCATCAAATGTCATCTATGCATTTGTCGTAAAGGAATGGATGTGTCCTATCTATAGCTTGTTAAAGTTTGATAGAGCATTCTTGTTCTCAGGTTACACGGCCTGGCTGACAAACATAACTACAGTTTACCCATTGCGCACCTCTTAAAACTTGCACTGTGAGTAGTGCTAAACATCCACCTGGCATTGTAGTATTTCCACCTACCTACGATTTTTCAAGATCTCTTCGAAAAGTGCTACGTTTTCGAAATTTATTGTCTACCCAGTAGGGTGATTAAACTGTTTTTTTTTGGGTTTTTTTGGGGGGGGGGGTTTAAACAGGAGTACCATGAGGTCGCCCCGCGTAAGTCAAAGCCGACCGGAAACGGTGTTCACGAAAGATGTAGGTAAGGTGCTTGAAAAGACCTGATCATATCAAAATCTGAAGTGTCTCTTCAAAACAATCTTCTTGAAGTTGAACTAAAAACATCGAAAAGATCACACAATCTTATAGGAAGAAGAAGAGTAGGGATTAATAAAGTTGTTACATAATCAGTCTATATACGTTAGGCTGGTATACATGTACACGGTTTTCCATTTGTCCTTCGTTTAAATTGCTCAAAGACAAGACTCATGCTAATCGGTGGAGAAATGGCAAGACATGCCGACATTTGTCACATGATTTGTGTTCAATGCGTCATACAAATGCAATAACAAACATAATAAATTTAAGTTTCAGAACTGTTAATATTACAACAATGCACATCCTCAAAAAGACGTTGCCTTCCCCATACAGAACACACGTACCACTTTGACAAGACAAGCGTTGGAGGAGAGCACTCAAACAATCATTGTTCATTGCCTATTCGTCAATTAATAGACATGCAAAAGACCGGTTTTTTAAAGTCGAAGTTCATACAACAATCGGTTCTTAAGTAAACTTGTAATTTAAAAGACTTACTATGGCAGGTTGGAGGGTGCCACTGGTAGTACCAACAGCTGTTCTTTCCTTGTGGTATTTCTGCCTGTCTTTTTTCCCATGTACTAAATGATCATTTTTGTATTGATATTCTTCTGTTTAATAAAACAAACAAATTCCACAACTAGTTATTGGGTCTATTACTTCTGTAAAAACCGGTTGTCGAACAAACTGCATGGGAGAGACAATAAAAACAACGGTTGTAGGTTCGGCAATCCACAGAAGACCCGGTTATTGAGTCAATAGATCATACACCACACGTGTATTTTAAGTATGTACAAGTTGCTGAGACAGTAGGTGACGTCACACAAACTCGGCCTTGGACTCGTGACGACGTGCCTTCAGTTCATGCACTCTGCTAGTTCCCGTGTTTTCCTCCTCACCATCCACCTTCCAGTCCTTCACCTTAGATAATGTGCTGTAGATGACAAAGTTTTTATTAACGGAATCGTTTCTCCCTGGAGATGTAGCGGTACTGTTCAATGTCTCATTCATTGGTTTGCCGGGCGGAGAAGATATACTCTTCTGACTCGGAGCAGCGCCCATCTGCTTTACTTTGACACTTTGGCGACTGGAAGATTGTGGGTTGTTTGCCTTAAAACTGTTAGAAGGCATTGGGGGTGGTGGAGGAGGTGGGGGTGGCGGTGGTGGTGGTGGTGGTGGTGGCGGAGGTGGTACTGATGTTGGCATCTTGGCGACTTGTACAGGCTCTGTGTTGGCTGCAAGGGATCTAACATTCGTAGCAGCTTTCTGCGGTGTGATGCTGGGAATTGTACCAGAAGTTACCGACTGTGTCGAGTCTCGAGAAGCCATCGATGGTGTTGGTTCTGATGGTGCCTGACTCGTTTCTATCTTTGGACTCTCTTTTGCTTCTCTCTTTGGCTCACTCACTCTTTCTGGACGTCGCTCCAGTGTTGTTTGAGGATTAGGTATTGCAAAAGGGAGTGCTTGTTTTATAAGCACGTCTTGAAGCTTTTTTATTTTATCTGTTGCTTTGGAACTGCTGAGAATGTTGTCGGCGGAATAGGACCTGCTTGCTTTACCCCAAAGAGGTGAGTTTGTTCCACTGGAATTTGTTTGATCATTTTGATTAGCATTTTCATCCAAACTTCCAGTTTGAGACTTACTGGAGCTGTGTTCACGGTCTGATACGTCATCTTCCTCCGGCCATTGCGCATTTTTGTTTGGAGTCGACTGGGATCGTTTTAGAGCGTTGAGAAGAGGAAACCCTCCGTTATTGAGCGAGGTGTTCAGGACATCTGCGAGAGATCTCGAGATTTCCTTTGATTCCGAAAGGTGCTCCTCCACGTCGTCAGCAAATGCAACACTTTTCTGACTCATTGATCTGTTACACGTTTTCGTTTCCGTTTGACTAGATGTAACATGTTCTGTTTGAGATTTGGTGACCATTTCATCCTCCGATTCTGAAGAGTAATCAGCAGGTATATTGTCGAGGTCATAGTCACCCCCTTGGAAAATAGAATCATTCTCTGATGATATATTTCCTACAGAGGTGAGACTATGGATATCTTCGTTGTTTCCACAGCAGTAAAAGTTCTTTCTCTTGTCAGAGCTGCGCGTCTGTTGATTTTTTTGTTTGTTCACTACATCAGACGCACGGTTCTTTTTCTGATATTTAATCTCTTTGCTCTTTGAGCTACTCTCTGACACTCTTTGGAGTTTTGCCGACCTCCTTAGAGTCCGGGTCTTGCCGCTGATATCGTGTTCGTCTGAGCTGTAGGTGCTACTTTCGCTCATCCCTCTTGCTTTTCCATCTACACCCTTGGATTTTTTCTCAAGAGTGCCCAGGTTACTACCTGATTTTCTCATGTCTTGAGGCTTTAGTTTGACTTTGTCCCTTTTGTCACGGTTCTCCGAGCTGAAGGAGGAGAAAAAATCGGAATCCCTGACAAAAGATTCAGTGGAGGAGCTCTGACGTCGATTACGAGACCTCTCATTACTGCTATTGTCATTGTTGTTGGCCTCCTGCGTTCTAACATTCCTGCCAGTTTTACCTCTTCCCCTTGGCCTGTCCGTGCTTTGATAGTCTTCATCCTCAGATATGCCTGACTCGCTGGAGCTATAGTCTTTTTGAGGCGTTGGCGGGCGCGCATCATCGAATCTCGACATTTGTGATTTGGTGAAGTACGTTTGATCTTCGACATAACCGTCGTAGTCGGGTGGTATGACGTCACGCCAGTCCACCGGGCCACTGCGCACACTCATGGCATCTTCATAATCCATTCTGCCCGTTTTGAGCTCATGCCACGAGGGAAGATACACGTCGGATAAGCCCCGAGCCTCTGACATACCCAGCCGCCTGCTTATAGTCATGGTGGACCCTTTCCTCAGCGTTGTCATCTGTTCGCTGGGTCGCAGGGGGCGCGGTAGGGAGTGGGACGTCCTCATCTGATGTCTTGGCATGAACTCCGGGGAGTGATCGGGAGGCGGAGCGTTGTCCTGGAAGGAGCCATATCGCTTGGAGGTGACGAAGAGCGGTTTGACGAGGTGGTTAGCGAAGTAGTAGGACGCGTCTCCGGCTGCAAACGAAGAGTTGAGCCTGTTTCGCTGATGACGCTCGCTTTGTGATGACGCTCTGCTTCTGCTATCTCTCGACCTCAGTGTACTAGTATGTTGGCCATTGTTGTAGTTGTTGTTGAAGTCGTCCTCGTCGTTCTGCGTGCTGCTGTCGTCGCCGTCGTAGCGACTTTTCCCCCTTGAGGCAGCGTCGCTGTGGGTGTGGCGAGGGCTGGCTTTGGAAAGAGGGGTCTTCCCTCCTAGACCCTCGTCTGTCGTCTCGTCGTAGTCCTCGCCCTTCTCGTCTTCGTCTTCCTCTTCGATTGACGACAGCTCATCTGCCTCCTCGTCGTCCTCCTCTGTGATGTGTCCGAGCTGGTGCTGAGTACTGGGAAGCCCCGCCCCTCGTCCTTGAGGGAAGTTCAGGTGTACAGGACCCGTGTCTCCATATCCGCTAAGGTCACCATGGTAGTGGGGAAGGATGGAGAAGGGGAAATGGGAGAGGGAGTTGGAGTTGGAGAGAAAAATGAAAAACAAAAGATGCATTAAATCACAAGACGCCAAAGGAGATATGGGTATGTAAAGCATATACGTTGTTTACTTTACTCGATACATTTTGCAATGTGTGTGTATATATATGTGTGTGTGGTGTGTGTGTGTGTGTGTGTGTGTGTTAGTGTGTGTTTGCAAGCATGTGTGTATGAGTGTGTTTGTGTGTATGACAAAGTGTGTGTGTGTGTGTGAGAGAGAGAGAGAGAGAGAGAGAGAGAGAGAGAGAGAGAGAGAGAGAGAGAGAGAGAGAAAGAGAAAGAAAGTGTATTGACTTGTTGAATGTACATGTATATGCCCCTCCGTATGTGTATTTTATTTATAAGTATAGTTTTATACAACTCTTCGAAGACAGTTATTGCTAATTATACAGTATTCTAAACTAAATGAACACAGATCCCACACTGCAAACAATCGTGAACGTATTCGTTTACGAGGACGTGCACATCACTTCGTACGGCAAACTAGATCTAGTAGAGCGAAGACACGAAAATGCACCAGCTTGTGACAATGGCCCCCACCAACTGCTCGTGTCTATAAAACTTGACCATCTGAAGACATTTCGAACGCATGGAGCTTTAAAAGGGTTGCGCGCAGTAAGTTTCGAGTAGCTTGGAGATGTCTTGCGATCGAACAACGAAAGCTTTTATTAACTTGCTCGGATACACGTACAGCTAGTATAGTCCGCTCTTTTTCGGAAAGGACGAGGACTATGAATAACGAAACTAGGTACATGTATTCTCTCAGGTATTGAGCAATTTTTGATGATTGTTAAATCATTTTGTTAAAATACAGAAGTGACTTGAAAGGTCAGCAAGAACGAATTTTTATTATTCTTGGTAGTCCCATTGCTGTTGCGCACATGGTATTGTTATGGCCTAAAGCCTAGATTCAAATTACAGCGGCCTAATAAACCATGACAATTTGTGACAGCAGCACAGAGGACGGGGTCGAATGTTTTGTTGATACATGGATATGAGAGAGAGAGAGAGAGAGAGAGAGAGAGAGAGAGAGAGAGAGAGAAGAGATAGAGAGAGAGAAAGATTGAAAGATAATTGTATAATGTGTAGCCATTTACTCTGTCAATGTGACACTCTCTGTACACATTTCTATCAAGTTTCCATCAATAGAATAATCTGCTTCATGGACATTTATTTATCATCTCAATCTGCTAACATGTTGTGAGCAGCTGAAATGATCATTCTCCCATCATTGAATGAGTGCAAAATTACTGAAACAAACTACATTTTAGTAGGATATGCCGCGGCCATTTACCACAACCAATACCGGAAAAGTCAGAGTGCTTTTTCAATGTACATTACTATTTTTATCCCGTTGGCCTGTATTTCTATAGAGAATTGATTTTGTTTCCTTTCATACAGTCAGAAGTTACTAAAGAAAGTAACTGAAAGTTCCTGGAGCAAAAAGACATAATAATGAACTTACCATCTGTGTCCGCCCAAACGCAGAGCTCTCTTTACAGCCGACAGCAAACGACGAAATTTACTCATTGTCTCAAACTTGAGAAAAATCACACGAATTAAAGATAGCGGAAATGAATCTAATAAATATGACCCATGATATTATGAACTCAGAGTTGTTCTGAAATATATAATATCCGTTTGCCTGTTTCCTTTCCGGTTGTCATTAAATCTTGAAATAAATAGAAATCCTAGTCGGTCTTGAGGTTATCCCAATTTGCATTAGTGCCTTTTAGCTTAAAAAAGATTTCTTGTCGAAGAACATTGTGGTAGTTCTTGTTGCTCTTCTTGACTCGGACTGAACTTCCCAACTGGCGGCCACTTTGTGGTTAATTTGACAATGAATGGTCCCGGTGACTTTTAGCTGGATAGGTTACTTTCCCTACCACCCGGAGATGTGCGGTGAGGGGTCATAAAAGACGGCTGGTATCTGGCGATTTACCCGGTTGATCTACCCTCGTTAACATTTTGATTGGTCTCCTTTCACCTTTAGACACGCGAGATAATATCACCCTCCCTTTCTTTGCTCGCTTAAATGTTCGACTGAATTTCCCTACCTTGACGACTGGTCTTTTTCTTCTTTAAGTTAATTGGTTTAACACCGTTTGTCCCACATGGTAGCGTCTAGTGAAAACAAAGGCAGCGGTATAGCTGTACATTGTACTTAAAGCGTTAACGTTTCTTTTTCCGAACTGATGGTGTTGTTTTCCCTAGAGTAGGCCGACATGTGAAAGACTCTTGTAAGAACGAGGAGTTCTCAGACCCACATAAACTCGCTGTAGGGAAGGAGAGGACACGTGAGCTTGAACATTGTACGAGAGTGAAAGAAACAAAACAAATAGGTTAAAGGATGGAGGGAGGGATTGGGGGGGGGGGGCTGTATTTGGAATGAAAGGACAAAGGGAGAACAGCGACAACAGTAATATGATATGTACCCTTCTTTTAATAATCTAAAAGCAATATTGTACATCGTACTAAAAGCTACTTTGCTCTTCAATAATACAGTCTAGCTGGGCCCCCTTTCGATGAAAGGAATGATCAGTGCCTTAACATCTACTGAAAGTCATAGGCTTTCTGTATTTACACTCTACTGGAATGGAGTAATAAATCTTGAGAGATGCAACAAATTAGAAGTACTAGATCTATACTCTCAAAACACTTCCGGCACTTCCGCTGTGAAGAACAGCAACGCAGATTTGTTTCGTTTCTCAGTGGAATAATCACAAAGGCCAAAGAAAGACGGGAACTTTTTGTCAAATATTTATTTTCTAAATTCAGGAAATGAATAAATAAAGAATCGGGCTCCTTCATGGGGACCTATCTATCTTTTTGCAGATACTTGCCAATTTTAAACTCTGTAGCTGTCGTAGTTTTATAGGGAAAATGTCACATGTGTTTTCAAGTTGCCAAATATATAATAGATTCATACTCTCTGACGCTGAGCTCTGTTTGGTCTTGACGGGCAGGGTCAAAGTAGTTTTCTGATTGTGTGAGAGAGGCGTAAAACTGTGATACTTGATTCATCGCTATGTCCGTTTTATTCTTTCTAACAGTGTCCTGATCTTATATCAGCATTGACCCCTCACTTACCTTTAATTAGTTGATAAGGATAAATAGATAGATAGATAGATAGATAGATAGATAGATAGATAGATAGATAGACAGATAGATAGATAGATAGATAGATAGATAGGTAGGTAGGTAGTGAAGGGGGGG